TCAAGCAGGTTGCCACGAGGCTGTGGCGGAGATCCGGCGGGCTGGCTTACGTCATGGGCTACAGATGGCCGCCCATAACAGAAGGCTGTGTGGTGACGGGCAGAAAAGTGAGAGAGAGTATTACTCTAATGTAGAGGCTGCAAATATCCTCGCAGCTGTTACTGAGGTATTGGGGAGTCATATTGCAGCGAGACTGCGCTTGACGAGCACCTGCGCAAGTTCCGAGAAAGCGTCTCGTATGGCATCGCATTGGCAGCATTATGCCTAACTGTAGGGGGACTGGGCAAAGAGCCGAGGCTGCTGATTCGTAGTTAAATTCCATTCTTCATCTACGGCAGCCTATTTGGGCTGATGCCATGGGCATTCAGTCATACGCCAGTGGGCTAAGGTCGGTGCATAGAAGGTCCGCTTGCGGGGTTGCGCTCGAGCGTTTCCACCGTAATCTTAATTGATGCTGTGTGCGTGTTAGCAGATATGCCTCCGATCGACCTCATTGCGCAGGAGAGAGCTAGACTCTATTTGCGCAAGCGGGAGGGGGACCCAAAACTGGGAATACCATTTACGAAAGAAGAGAGGGGGGTGGAAATGGGACATGGCAGACGGTGGGAGAATCATCACTGGGCGATGGACATTTCGGTCATTCGCCGATCATGAGTGGATCCAAAGGGAACATGGAGAAATTAAGATTTTTATCTACCTCAGATGCTGACAGGCATGGATGTTATCGGAGTATAGCTAGATTCCGGTTGGACGATAGCTCCTCATGCCAAGGTGTTTCCGGGTGATTGAAGACGTAGAACCGTGTTTCTTTCCATTGTCCACGCTTCACAGTGGAAAGGGAAAGAACTTCACAGACTCCTCCAAGAGGAAGTGACCCTGAGCCATCGTCAGCTAGGATGCTGCTGACACAAGAGTAATTGGAGTGCGGTAGCCACCTATGCCGCAAAGGTCTGAAGACGCTCCGCTCTGAGGAGAGTTTACGACAGAAAGACTCGTAATATTTCGGTGACCGTACGAAAAGCATCCTTCCTTCTCGGCGATGCAATGCTGACGGCGATTCCGCGGGAAGGAATAGGAGGACGGGGGGGTTTTTAGTGGTAGGCATAGGCTAGCTATGCATCCAACGCTGCGGTTGCGGGCCCGCTGTGTTTTAGAGATTTTCCCTGCCCAACGTAAAAAAAAAAAAAAAAAAAAAAAAAAAAAAAAAAACACATACACATACACATAACATACACATACACATACACATACACATTACAC